ACACACACACACACACACACACACACACACACACACACACACACACATACACACACACACACACACTCACACACACACTCACACACACACACACACACACACACACACGCACACCGCGCGCGCGTGTACATACATACATCTAAAATCAACTTTGCAAAGGTATAGCATTCGCCTGACTTTTCCACTTTAATGTCAAATAAGTTTCATTTGATAAGATAAATTTGTTCCAATATAACTTAATATAACATAACATTAAAAAGGGAATCTGAATTATACATTCACAGTAAAGGCGCATTTATACGTCACTAATTTCATCGCGCTCACCCCGCGCGGTCGCCGAGCGGAATCCGCTCTTTGACCGCGTGGCGGCCGCGCGAAACCTTTCTCCTCGTGTGTCTTGGCGCTAAAGCTATACAATTTAATATTACAACCTAATATGTAATTGCGATGCCTAAACTAAATATATCGACTCATCCGAAGAACAGAGTCCGATGTGATTATATAGCGAAAAGAGCATACGTACGTTACGAGAATAATTTCCTAACTCAAACTAAGGCCTATGTAAAGGTGTTTTGAGAATTTATATATCTTAACGGTCAATGTGATATCCACAGCGAAGAAGAACGAACGAAATGCACTACCTATATCCTGAGAACAAGTAGTATTGCACATAGACCTTTGTTCTACGGATGAGTCGAAGTGTACCTTTATTTTAGGCACCTTTCTGGGCAAATTTCTTTTTAACAATAAAATCATTATAAAGTAGTTACAAATTAATGGTTATATAAAAATAGTTATGAAACAACTTCCAGCAAGCCCTCTGTTCCATTGTACGTTTTACTATTTATGCCAGATATGGGAGATAGGAGCCTAAACTAGGTATACCCTGTGCTATGGCACTCCTGGCTCCCTCTCTCGGCAATAGTACAGTCAGTAAACAAGGATAAGGGTATCGAGTTCTTTGTTACAGATAGTCAAAAAACAAATATAGGTACGCGATTTAAATCCGGAAAAATAGTTTCATTACCTAAGAATAAGGTTTTTCTATTTAAAATGACAGAATAGAACTCTTACTGTTTATTGAACTTGAATTGCATAATTTTGTAGTGTCATAATTTAGTAGTTTATGTGACTGTTACACAATTAATACGAGTGTGGGTATAAGAAACATCACACGAAGGTTTCAATCATTGACTTACAAATAAATGGACGACGGGTCTAATACAAAAACCACGAAAAAAATGTCCCAAGTCAACCTATTTAAACGTAGTGACATGTAAAGGAATATGAAAAAGCTTTTAAATTGTATTGTCATCGCAGTACTGTCTAATTTTGCTTGCTTCGCTGTCAGTCAAACAAACGAAGACTAAAACGCGAATGACGCTCTGTATACGATTTTTTTTTTTTTTTTTTTTTGATTTATTTTGGTACAAACAGTCATTACAATCAGTTATTACTAAAACAAAAATTAAACTACTCAATAGACAACGAGTACCGAACATTACATTTTAACGCCCTATAAGTTCGGACATTTTTTAGCGCGGACCCGACGTCCATATAATTGTAAGACAATGGTTTTAATGCCTAATTATGTATAGTTATGTAACCTGCTTTATCTACACACATATTATAAGCTCTCTGTGATGTGTTCAGGAACCGCATGGTACTTTCTTTTTTATAAAAAATAAGTCCGCATTTAACCTCCATCTCACCTGATGAAAAGTGACGATGAGGTCAAGGATGTAGCATGCACACCTAAATAATGCCTATTCACACTCGCCTTGAAAAGGTCCAAGTTATAGCGTTCGGGGAACAAGTCTGCAGGCAGGGAATTCCACTCCCTAGCCGCTCGCCATACAAATGTGGAAGCTTGTAATTTGCGGTTTTTGAACACATCGTCTAGAGGGTTTATGATTTGTGTGTAGGTAAAAATTATAATAAGCTGAATGACATTAATTTGTGTTACAGGAGAAACCCCATCAGAAAACATTCAACAACCAGAAGTGAGCTTATCATATAATCCCGAAGAAGTGATACCTTTGAAGTACACGGCGAACCTTGCACATGAGAACGAAGCGGGCATTGTAGGGGAAGAGGGGTAAGTTTTCTACCTAACACTTCACTACCCGACACAAGCCGATTTAAGTGGCCAAATAGTTAATAAGGAGGTCGCTGGATGAGGAGGTCCCGGGGTCGATTCCCGGTATTACGTAATTGGAAAATTAACTTTTTTAAATTGGTTCTGATCTGGGTGTTCCTTGATATGAGATCCTTGCGACTTAAAGCTCTAAGTGGCACTGCAACTGTTATGGATAGGCGTATCGCTTACGCCTGGTTTACGACTTGTTCGTCACGTCACTTGATATTATAAAAAATATATTTCTAATATTTCGACGAAAGTACTTGAATCCAAGGTCATTAAATAAATTTAAAAAAGCCTGCGTCTACCACGTAGAGGGAGATTTTTTATTCTCCCTCTACGGTCTACCACATCGTGTCTATAACCAGAAATAGAGACGAAACGTTTATAATATTTGTTTATTTCATTACAATCTAATTGATTTAAAAACTATTCTGCCAAATCATTACATGACAACTGCGCTCCGATTGGCCAGCCCGAATTCGAGACAATTGACGGATGTCGTCAATTGGTTTACTTGAAATCGACCAGTTTAACATGAACTTTGTTATAATGGACGAAAATTTAAAAATTGCATATTTAATATTTAATTACCGATGAAATGTCATTCCATTTGTTTTGTAATTAGATGTTTTGCTGTTTTTTGCCACACCACCCGAATGGAACAGAGATCATTGTTAGAGATATTATCTTTATTACAATAAATACAGAATATTTTGTGAATATACGGAGACGTACTACACACAGGTCAGTTTTTGGCGCTGTACTATTCGAGCTTTCTAATTTGTGGATTCAGCGCAAACGAGAGTCGATATTTAAAAGTGACATAAGGCCTGATGAGTTGCCAGGGATGGATTTCGTCTATATTTCTGGTTATATACTCGATGGTCTACTCACCACCAACATCAATGTTTGTGTTCTCAGAATATATAGAATTAAAATTTACCTTTTTCATTCCAGATTTATAGACCTCCAATGCGTAAAAGACATGCGGGTTGGTGGCAAACTCCTCGACGCCCGCGACCTAGCTGAACTATCTTCATGTGCAAGAAGACATGGTCTGGAGACCAGCTCACATGGACCAAGGATCATATCATTGGTGTACGGGAGGACGTTAAGCGATAACAGGACAGTCCATCTGTTATTTCCTACACACACTTATAAGTAAGTCTGGTATTCCGCCCTGTCTTATTATAACTAACATAATCGCCATTTTTAGTTAAATTGAGTTGTTAGCTTATCAGAGACCAGCGGAACTAGATCTACAATCACCTACAAGAGGTTTTTGTTATTTAGTTTCAATTTTATTGTTAAGGCACACTCCGGACACTCCATACAACGGTCGAAAATTATTTACCTACTACTACATACAGCAGGGCCCTATCTGCACACGCGCAAATGTGTGCGTGTAGTGGCAGGGTTATCCATCACTTTCTTACACTATTACGTTACGTGATCAGAACGACAATACAGCGTAAATGCTAACGCGAATCTATTATCTATGATTCTATTAATAGAATCCAGAATCCTAATAATTACACATGTCTATTATGTATTTATATCGATATAATATCATATTTTTCATTAACTCACTAACTAGAGTAATATTGAACATTTATTTAAAAAATATATTAAAAGCACTTAAAATGTTATATTGGACATGTACTTTTAAATAAGGTAACCAAGGTATTTGAAATTACGTGTCCAAGTTGATCATCATTACTTAATTAATAATTAGATATATTCGCTACTTACGTAATCACATCGGCAATATGAATTGAAAATTCGATAATCCTTGTCTACCAGCTCACGAAGTCATGGCGCGTCATTATATTGATATAATAAATCTGTATTTTTTGTACATACATATATTACTCTGCAGTAAATAAATGAAGAAAACTGAAGAATGAGTCTCAGATATAAGTTATTTTACTTACCTACTTCGTTTCATCTTTCGGAAAATGATGATAAACAGCCGTACACAGCACAATTCACGACCATTATAAATAGTAACGTAAAATGATGTTTTATATTAACGTGCAAGTTTCGTAATTAATAAATGAAAACTATATTCAAATATCAAAGGGGCGTGGTGCTTAATCTTAAGCTATGGTGTGGCGGAGAGTGTCCGTTCTCGTTACTTATTTGTTCTCTGGTTAAGGCGAGTCACTGGAGAAGAAACGGGAAAATCTGTTTTGCTATTTCAAATGGTTTAGGTATTTCCTATGAAATAAGGGTCTTACAAAAAATGTTAAATTCAATCTTGTCGAGAGTCTATGGTTACCCGTTTCGATTTGACACTCGAGGCAGTCTCCGATTGGGGCGATGCCAATCTTGTCAAATTTAATACTACCGAAACGCAGGCATGTCTATTCTCCTCACTGACTCCGACTTTTAGTGATATATACATACCCGATAGCCGAGCGTCACCAACTACTTGGAATGGACCTGTCGTCCAATCTGAACTTCGGCAGATACATTGAATCCATGGCCAAAAATGCAGGGTGAGGCGTTACTTTCACAGTGGCAACACGGGACAGTTGCTTCATCTGTATCAAGCACAAGTCCGGTCGTGTATGGAGTACTGCTGCCACCTTTGGGATGACTCTGCTACATGCCAACTGGCCACCTTGGATTCAATTGACACGTGTGGCAAGAGACTTGTAGGTGACTCGGAATTTGTAGAGGCGAAGCTGCAGAGCCTTGAACACTATTTTACAGGATGTATCACGGAGAATGTGCGACGGAATTACACGACTTGATTCCGCTTTCCCCTTTCCATCATTGGGGAACTAGGTGTGGGCTTGGATTCCATCCCTATGTTGTGGATATTCCCAAGATTCTCACGAATCGCTACGCTTCCACATTTATGTGGCGAACGGCTATGTATTGGAATTCCCTGCCTGCAGACTTGTTCAGGGAGAACGTTATAACTTGGGTCTTTACAAGGCGAGAGTGAATATGCATTATTTAGGTGTGCATGCACCGTCGTCGACCTCATTATCACTTTCCATCAGGTGAGATGGAGCTAAATGCCACTTACATTTGGACATTATCTAACGAATGTGCTAATGTGTTACAAGATAGGATGTATTTTATCCGATCATATTAAATCCGAATTTTGCGGACAATAAGTTCTCCGTCTTTTCCAGGGTATGGGCGGTAGGTCTTCATGCAGTGATCCGAGCCCTCATGAGCCAAGCGAAACTGGCTGACAGGAGTTTGGCGTGGTTAAAGAATAAATATACCGCGTTGTATTATGAGGATGGGTGCTGCTGTGAACCTCTGGTTTCTGATGCTATACGGGTAAGTAAATTTTGTATTTGGAACTGTATAAAAATAAGAAACTTGTTGTCAAATGAACATCGAGAGAGTTCTGGACAAATCTTCAAACCGAACGCTCATAGTAAATCTTTAATTATGAATATATTCCTCGTTTACTACTAAATATTATACCTCTCTCTACGCTACAACCACGGCTACGCTCCCACAGTACACTATATCTCTTCAGCTGGAAGCCGTTCACTGCTATACCAAACCTGTCCCACTTGAAGCGAAATTGTGTAACCATAGCATATTGGACTTTTTGAACTCCGTACTTTAGCTGTCACTTCAATTTCATAAGCCATATTACAATGGCGCTCTTTTTAGTTCTGAATCAAGATTCTGTTGTCTATAGTACTAGCTAGTAATTGAAAAAAATTATTACTAGCATTGATTTATATCTATAACACCAAATCCAAACATTCATTTCATTTGTAGGCGTAACTCCTAATGTTTATTTTTCGTTACTTAATATTAATTAGAATATTTTTTTACTAGTATTTATGTAGTCTGTGTTAATTCCATAAATGATAAATGGAATTAAGACAGTTAATATTGTTTAAATTTTCCCCCTGTTATTGCTTAAATTTTCTTTTTGTTTTCTTTGCATGTTGTGGCACCTACAGGTAGTGCATTTAGAATTAAATGTATTTTTAAGCTTCATTATTCCCTGTCCTTAAATAAGTCAATTAAAAAATAATAAATTAATACAATAACAAATAAATAAAGTGTTGCAAAAACCAGCAATTCGTTCTGTGTACCGTTTAAGTTCTCGGGTTTCTCTCAGAGAAAAGTTTAAGGCGACTGGTGTCATGACTGTGGCATCACAGTACATTTACTCAAATATTTTCTATGCCCTTAAAAATGTATATAATTTCAATGAGAAAGAAGATATCCCATAATATTAACCTTAGAACTAAGTCCAAACTCATTGTATCACCTTTTCGTTTAACTAAGGTAAACAACTCTTTTATGGGGAGCTGTATATGTTTTTGCAAAAAGATTCCAGAGCATATATTGAGATTACCATTCCCTAAGTTTAAAACTTACATTAAAAGTATTTGAATTGAAAAGTCATATTAATACAAAATTGTAAACTACGTGTTAGATAAAGATGTATGGAAAGACAACATGAGTCTAGATTCCACACAAATATGATTCAAAATGCATTCTACAGCATTTAAGTTTATTTGAAAAGAGCAATCCCTAGAGTTTCTTGCTCGTTCTTCTCAAGTCAGCGTAGCGAACATGCAGTAACTTAAAAGAGACGTTTTCAAGTTGTGATTATGAATATAAAGATCGAACACACGGAAAAATATTTCGTCGACCCGGTGGGACTTGAACCCACGTCCATGCTGCACCGTAGCATTGCTCTTACCAACCGAGTCACGGGTCTGTGAACACAGGTATGCGATTTTGTTATAGATCTTTGTAGGTACTGACTTTCGGCATTCGTCGCCGCTAGTGTCATCTAGTGAATAGATTTTTTAATAACCTTCACACCGCAGCCGACACCTTTACAGGTATCACACATTTTCAAGAGTAAAAATTTTGCCTATGGAATAAATGATTATTTGACCTTGACTTTGATTTAAAAACTTTGTTTTCAGGTATTTGGAGGGCGAGAATCGACGTGCGGCAGTTCGTCTCATTCCACACCAGTGAAAGGGGCTTTTACCGACTCACATTCGGACTCTGTACGGAGTACGGGGATTAAGTTCAAGGTATGTATCAATGTAATATAGACGATTGTCCACAATTTTACTTGATATAAGGGTCGAAACACGAAACTGCGAATCGTTGCGATGCGATTTCGTGCGACAAAGCGTCTTATTGCCACGATTCGGGTGATCATTCCTTCGACTATCGTCAACTGTACTGAACGTATTTTTTTAACTAGGTAGCGACAGGGGTCCCAAAAGACTTGCACTGCTTTTATTGATAAGCAAATACAGGGTGGAAATTTGTAATGCCACCTGGAGGGAAAGTACTCTAAATACTGGAGATAGAAATTTTTACTTAAAGGAAACATTCCTTTATTTTTTAAAAGAAATAAAACTGCCTTTTCAAAAATTTCTAGCAACACGCAGGAATCGAACCCGCTTTAATCTGAAAAAAATGCACCCTGCACGTTTATTGCATCGATCGATTTTGAGTAACCTCTTCGGCTGTAAAATACAGTTTATTTCACCTCACTGTCACTTGTTTTTACACTGTGGCGTCATTTTAGAAATTGGTTGTCTACATCGCCATGGATTTAACACGTGAAAATTTTCGTAGTATGATTTTCTACGACTTCGAGTGTAATTTAACAGCTCAGCGGAGCTTCGCTCGGCTTCAAACTGCTTTTGGCGATGAAGCACCATGCAAAACGACTATTTATAGCTGGTTTGCAGAATTCAAACGCGGTCGTGTGAATCTCAGTGACGAATTTCGTGATGGTCGCCCGTCCACTGCTGTGAACAACAAAAACATCGATGCTGAGCGCCGTATGACCAAAACAGACAGGCATATGACATACCTTGAGATTCGGGCATCTTTAGGCATAGGCATGAGTCAAATACAATCAATACGATTCAAACATTTGGGTGTGAAAAAGCTGTGCTCTCGATGGATCCCACACATTGCAGGCATATTGTAGGCAGGCAGGGTGGAGGTGGCTAGTGCAGTTATTCCATTCCATCGCTGCACTAGGTTCCTTCGCGTTTGGATACCACTTTCCACTTAACATCAGGTGGAGTGGAGTCATTTGCCTGTCATGTATAAAAAAAAAAACACAATTTGACTGAGGCTCAAAAAACGGATCGCGTCACTTGGTGCAATGCCATGCTTACCAGATTCAACGAAGGGGCGTCAAATTTGGTGTGGGATATAGTAACAGGTGACGAAACTTGGATTTATAGTTACGATCCCAAAACATAGAAACAATCGAGCGTATGGGTATTTCGAGATGAGCCGAAACCAAACATAGTGACGCGCGTGTAAAGTGCCTCTAAGCGGATGATTGCTTCTTTTTTTAATAAAACTGGACACACAACAGAATCGTTGTACCGTGAATAGTGATTGGTACACGACCATTTGTTTGCCGGAAGTTATTGACAAACTCCGTAAAAATGACCGTAAACGCCGTATCATCTTGCACCACGATAATGCCACTTCTCACACGGCCATACAGTAAAATGAATTTTTAAAGGTGAACAACGTTGACCTTATGAGCCATCCCGCGTACAGCCCCGACCTGGCACCTTGTAACTTTTATTTATTTCCAAAAATTAAGAACCAGTTACGCGGTCAATAATTTTCATCACCTGAAGAGGCTGTCGAAGGGTATGAAAAATATGTTTCAGAGATTGTCACTGAGGAGTGGCATAAATGTTTTTCAAAGTTAGTTAATTCGTATGAAAAACTGCATTAACGCTAATGGAGAATATTTTGAGAAACAATAAATTCATTTCTGACCATTTATAGTATTTTTTTCTTATTTATTTCGGATATAGTGCGACCCACGTATGAACTTGTACATTATAAATATCCCCGCGCCCGGAACGCTTCCGCGGTCGCCTCTGTGTGCCGGTTCATTGGATTTTACTTTCCGATAACCGTTTTCAATGAAACTTGGCAAATAAATGTATTTCCACAAACTTTAGTGGTCGGTTTTTTAAAATAATTTATAATTATTATGTTTACAGAAGAACAAATCAACTTCAGAGCTAAAAACTAGCTCTCCCAAGAGCTACGGGTCAACACACACATCCGGTACAAGAAGTGAAGATGAAGTAATTCAAGGGTCACCACGACATAGGTAAGTTACCTTACCACCGAGAAAACTATGTTTTTATGGGTAAACCTATCACAAACTCGAGTTTTTATTTTCCCGAAATAACGTTTGTTCTAATTTTCATTACACCGAAAACCGAATTATAACGAAACCGTTGTTCTTTCAGGATATGTTGGATGTTTATCGCAACGACACGATTAGGTTCGGTTAGGTTAGGTTAAGTTTAAAGGAAAAAACATTTTCCTCTGAAAATTACATTCGAGGTTATGAAAATTCGAGCTAACGTTATTTCTAGAAAATGTCATTTCGGACTAACTAACCTTCTTTATGATATCAAGCCACACGCCTACCCGTAACAGTGCAGTGCCATTCAGAGCTTCACTCGCATAGATCTAAGAGGTACTACCACTGCACCGTCACCCTGATACATAAAATTGACAAATCGCATGATTTTGATTATTCTTTTTTGTTGGAAAGAGGATACCATATTGGTCCCATTTAAATTCGAAGAAATATTCCACCTCTAAGAGTGACAAACTACGGGATACTCTGTATTGAAATTATTGTATGTAGAAATACTTAACTCCACTAGCTCTTTTCCACCAGAACTGCGCTAAGCGAGGCTAGGAAACGTATTGTTGGATTTTTTCCTCGTACACCGCCTAGCTACCTCGCACATCTCTGATAGAAACGCAGCGTAAATCTTTCACAGGTTGCTTTTAAGGTCTTTAAAAGTCACGATGTTTTACTGTCATGATATTCATTGTTTTTTGTGAAATTACTCCACTAGTTTGTTATAATTATACAAATTCAAAGATCGAACACTCAAAAAAATATAGCAACTAAGCCTCGGAACGAACCAGCGGATCTCACGAATTTTTATATGTGCTTGAGTCGTATCTTTGAATTTGGTAGTAGGTGTAGTAGGAAAGAGAAATTTATGACATTTCGTCACCCAGTTACAGCTACCAGACCCGGCTAGAGATGTTTAATTGATATTCAATTATTTTTATGTGAAATTACTCCACTCAAAAGAACGCCACATGAAACGAATGGCCACATTATGGAGTTTGTCAATAACTTCCGGCAAACAAATGGTCGTGTACCAATCACTATTCAGGCTACAACGATTCTCCAAAGCAACAGTGGCTACGTGTCCAGTTTTATTAAAAAAAGAAGCAATCATCCTCTTAGAGGCACTTTGCACGCGCGCCACTTTGGTTGGTTTCGGCTCATCCCGAAAGACCCATACGCTCGATTGCTGCTTTGTGTTGGGATCGTAACGACCCCTTCCTTCAAATTCCTTCGATCCGGCCGGATTCGAACCGACGTCTTCTAGAATACCGTGGCAGACTCCACTTGTTTGTTATAATTATTAATATAAAGATCGAACACAAAGAAAAACTCCTTCGGTCCATTTCTCGATTGATTTGGTTTTAAAGGATGCTGGTGTCACATGGGACTTATCAACTTATGTCTCAGGGTGACAGGCGTGTCGCTTACCACCTGTCCCACGTTGTTCGTCCTGTAACTTAATGTCATTAAAAAAGGAAATATATAGAATATTTTCTAATAACAAAATTTTCCTTTACCAGCTCGTACTCGGCCACATCAAGTCACCACCAACAATGTGCACCCCGGCACAGCAGCCTGACAGCTGCAGCCACCAGCATCATGGCTGGATCGCCTAATAGGAGTAGGTGAGGGCATACCTTTCTATACAACACAATGCATATATATTTTGATTGTGGTATTCTAATTTATGATAGGCCGTAGAAGAATAACAGCTTTGTAATTAGCATAGTCCTCAGATGCTGAGACTAGGGAAACCCTGTACCGCGGGTGCCATGGACACGCACAACCACAAATTCACGAGAGAAATAAATGTAGGCACAAATATTTCTCCTGGCCAGGGAATCGAACCCGGAACCTCCACATGGCAGTCCAGCGTGGTAGCCGTTTGGCCACGGAGGCAGTTAATGCTTTTTTATTTTAACTTGAATGGTTCTTCTTAGTTTAATTTTTGTAATTTACGTATTTGGCATGTCAAATAAAGCCAATTTTGTAATAAATTAACGAAACTATAGGCTTTAACGGAAATTCTTGGTTAAGGGCCACGGACTGGTTCGAAATAGGTCTACCAAAAATTTGACTTAAGGCGAAGTATTTCAACGCAAGCCTACATTTTAGGAGGTGAGGTATGGGGATTGTGGGGGGGCCCCGCTCGCTGACAATTAATATGAATAAAATAAGGTGGAGAAAATTTGACACATGTCCGATGTCGTGAACGCCCGCTGGCGACTGGGCAAAGGGCGCGGTGTGTCGTTAAGAGTCTTACACAACCTCAAATGGCTTTGCTTGATTCCGCACATGTAACAAACAAAGCGTTGAATCAATCTCTTTGAAAAAAAATATTTATAGTAAAATTGGGGATATACACTGATTACTATAAGGTGTGAAAACACGATTCATAAAAATTTTTACTATAGAAAAAAACACAACTTACCTCGAAATTTTTTTGACCAATGATTTTTGTTTAAATATCAACTGAATTAAATAATACGATATACATTTTTCAAATGGTTTTAGTTACGTTTCTAAAAAAAAACTTAAATAACGCCAAAGCAAGATGAACCGTATGAGTATGGGAAAAATGTATAATTCGAGCCAAGGTAGTATTGCCTCTGAAACAATGTTTGAACCGCTGAGCCATTTTTAATAAATACGAATTTAATATTTAATAATAATTATTATATAATATGCAGTTGAAAACCAAAATTTAGCAGTTTCTCTGTAGTATTTAAAAATAAATATCTCCAGACAAAAATATGTACAAAGTTAGATATCTAATTCCTAAATAATTGTTTTAGACTTTTATTTTTCAAGATTTTACATGATCAGATAAAGTAAGGGAGACGTAACAAATTTATAATACCTTTTTGAACATTCGAAAAAACAGTAATATAATATTTAAAATTTCATATTTATTACAGTCACAGTCATTGCCTATCTAAAGACTTTACATTGGAAAATGAATTAAACTTTTATCTATGTTCATTTATTTTTTATATAATTATTGACTGTGTGTGTGACATGGTCAGTCAACCGTGACCATGGGACCTGTAAAGGGCCCGAAACGTCGGTTTGTTTGAAAAATCAAATATACGCGATTTAAATCCGGAAAAATAGTTTCATTTCCTATGTGTAACAATCGCGAAAACCTAAGAACTGGATATTTTGTTTTAATTAGAAAAATCAACAATGTTGTTGATTTTTCTAATTTTTTTTAATAATGAATATCCAGCACACGGTAATACTATTTAATATTGGATATCCAGTATAGGGTACTCTATATTAACCAGTAGGGCTATCACGATAGGGCGCGACAAGCGTGAGAGCGATATATACCGCGATATAATACTATTCTCGCAAAGAGATCTCACGCTTTATGTCGCTCTCGCGCAAGTCGCGCCTTAACGTGCTAGTCCTACAAGGCATGTGTTTATACATCTTTTTATTTATACGATCCTTTTAAATTTGCAAAGGCAGTAGGCAAAAAAATCTAAACGGTCATCTTTTTTAATGACTCCCATCTAAACAAATAATTAAACATTTGAATATGAAAGACACTATATAACGAGTGATGTATGTACCCCAATATCGGATATCTAGTGTAGCACTATGCGAATCACGGCAATTTACAGTTTATAGTCCGGAACACAAAGAAAACACTCAAGTTCGATTTACGCTGTTTAATTACAAGAAGACACTTTACACTTTTACAGTTACAGCACGAAAGACACAGAAGATACAGTTCAGTGTGGAAAGCTAGGCATGGAACGGATGGCAGTAAGCGCAAGCTATGTGCAAAATACTAAACACAATTTATTCACGTAATGGCGGGCGATAACGGTAAATTTTAAAGGCAAAGCGAGCGTGCGTCTAGCGTCAGAGCGCAGCAAACAATGGCCAGCGGCGGAGTTCACGACGGCAGCCGAAGTCTCAACTTCGGTGCATCTCACGAACGTTCCCAACTAGTGGCGGAAACCGCGTTATTAATCATTCGCCCAAAACCAGTGCGATCTTCGTTCGCTCTAATAGTGTGCGATCTTTTAGTCGCCACACTAGTATTGTGGATACCTAGGTATCCAATATTGAGGTAACCACCTAATTGTACAAATAATCGGTGAGGAAAATTACACCCTGCGCAATTATCGCTAAAATATATATTCTAACTATGCGCCTAGCTAGTATATAATACTGTAACAAAATATAATACCACAAGTACTTAACCACAAGTACTTAACCACAAGTACTTAACTTTAACCGCGTTTTGAAGCCAAGATCTGAAAGAATCGTCGAATGGAAAAATATACTTTGAATGTTGACAGTGAACTGAAGCCAAAACTGCGCAGACAACTAGCAAAATATTGGTAACTTACATTGACGAAGTAGTTCTAGTTTTTAAATAAAAGATGGTGTTGTTTAGTTTTCATTATAGCGGGGTATCCAGTATTGTGCACCTATTCTATATTTGGTACGTCTCCCCCACATCCTGTCGCGTAACAAACTAGCACATTCTCTAGGCAATATCCTTAGATGTAGCGTATGTTTTTTTAAAGGCGTTATTTAATAGCAAAACATTTTTTCTCGCTTCTCCGGTGACTCGACTTAAATACGTTATGTTGGATCCCGGCAGAAATCCGTCAAGATTGTTGGATTTCCAGCGCGCTAGCTGGAATCCTTCTCAACAGACTTTCTTTTGCTTTCTGTATCCTTCTTTTCTTCACTAAAACTCCAACGTAAATCTTTTGGTTTATTGAATCTTAGGAAATGAACTGTATACAATTCCATATAACTGACTTGAATAGGTTATTTCTATCTCCATCTGACTTATCGAACAACCGAATAAGAATATCGAATAGAACTGAATGCAACTAAACTTACGAATGAGTATTACAATAAACCTTACTTATATTTATACCGATACGTTGTCTCTCACACCGTACCGGTCCTATCAATTCGCCGTGGACGCCACTCGGCCAATCAGAGCTCCTGAATTTCTCATCATTCTAGCAATTCTACTCGTACTGCTCTGACCGGGCACAGCCGTCCGTAACACGTTATAATAATGTTGAAATTTGTCTGTTTCAGTTTAAGAAGACTGGAAACAAGCGAACGGTTCTGGGAGAATCTGAAACATTTGAGAACAGGCTCCGTGGGATATGACACGCAGCTTGATTTTATGGACTTCGTCGCTTTGTTTCGCAGTTTTAGGTAAGACATCACAATACAATTCTTCTTTACTGCACACGAAGAAACCTAAAAGTGGATGACCTCATGCGAAATACTTATAATATCTAGTGACGGAACGAACAAGTTGTGCGTCTGGTGGCAAGAGACACGCCTATACGTAACAGTTGCAGTGCCACTAAAAGCTTTTAACCGCGAAGATCTTGTGGGCACTGCCACTGCGCCTGTCACCCTGAGACATAAGTTGACAAGTCCCATGTGCCTGTAATTTCACCAGCACCCTTTGTGTGAGTAGCGTAGTTACGGTTTGTTTACACGACGACCCAAAATGCATTATCTGACGATTCACTGATGACGACTGACTTTCCGTCGCATCGTGTGACGGTCTGGCGCGAGTGGAGGTAGGCGTGAGGGAACACTTTGGTATAGGATGCGCGTGAGTATAGACGTATCTTGCGAAAATGTTCGATACGGAGATTAAAATAAAAATAATTGAACTACTTAGTTGTTTGTTATTATTAGTCTTTCTTCTGTACTGATGGTGTGTCTCATATTTGTATCTGACTTAGTAATAAAAGTTTTACTAGGCTTAATAATTATTGAAAAACATTTATACATAAACTTGTATATAATATATGAAACTGCCCATACTTTAACCATTTCACATTGAGAGGACTTTGAGGATTGTACCCAGCTTCTTTTTCTTTTTCTAAACCGTCTTGTAATGCTTCATAAATGCATACTATTTTTAATGGAGACATTACATTATTACGACAAAAACATAAACCCCGTATAAACGCTTAAAAGCAACTGAATAAAATATTTTCGTCTACCGCTGCAACCGGATTTCGGTCGAGCGCAAACTGCGCAACGCAAAAAACGCAACTCACAAAATTACGCACGTAACTTCACCCTTACCTTTCAAAACCGGAACACAGTAATCTCACATTACTGCTCCGAGGCAGGAATAGGTAAGGTGGCAGCTCTTCCCTGAAGCATCTCCTTCACAAGGAGCTCTACTCCTAAAAAAAGGAGGTTCTCAATTCGACTGTATGTTGTTTTTTGTTTTTTGTATGTATGTTACGCGATAACTCCCGTATTTGTGATTCTTTTTTTGTTCGAAAGAACTCTCTTTCCAACAAAAAAGAATCATGAAAATCACCTCCATAGTGGTCCCATTTAATTTTGAAGAAAATCATTCACCTCTAAGGGTAGCTCTTCACACATGAAGATTCATTTTTATAAATAGCGCCTAAATTTTACTATAAGGTGCAATTATTTTAATGGTTGATTTTTCTATTCTTCAATTCAAGGCGTTTTTCGCTCAATATACTTTGAGTAGTGAGAACAGATTTTTATTATCTCCCATATCAAGTCCCGTAGAATGGCGAACTAGGGGATGAATCCGGGTTTGCGCACTTTCCGATAACCGATTTCAATAAAACGTGGTAATTCTATGTAATTCCACGTACTTTTGAGATCGGTTTTTTTAGTACTCTGTACTGAGATTATTGTTATACAAAAAGGAAAATTATTTTCCAGACAAGTTGAACATTCCGGGAAGCGGGTAAAGTTTTCCCTTTGCCTAGTTAAGCTTATTTTTTGCCAGCCCTCGTTCTGGTCACCAACTTACCATCAGGCCCACAACTTGTCCTTCCCGTCACTTGATATCGTAAAAACAGGATAATCCTTATTTGCACCCCACCCTTTTCCAGCTCTTACGTTTCTATCCTAAGATTGCCTGGAAGAAATTGCTATTTAGCAATAAAGCCGCCAGTTGCACATTGGCTTACTCTGTGATACTTACGTTAGTGTTATGTGTTGTCATTGTAATTGTAATGTGCAATAAATAATATTTCATTCATTGAAGAAAGGCAGTCTTTGTTAAACATAGTCTAACGAAATCTTCTTCTCAAAAAGAAAAGACGTTAACGTTAACAATTTATTTATTTTTCGACAGCCTAGTGATGCGCTCGGAGCTCCGTGACGTGTTCGAGCAGCTGGCAGTGCCCAGAAACAGGTCACCGCTGCTTGCCGAGAAGAGCAGATCATCACCAGAACTGTTTAGAGGGAAGACTGTGTTCAGAACTGGTAAGGGCATCGTTAAATACATCTCTGTAGCCGCAAAACACTTCAAAGTTGAAAGCAATACGAATATTTAGTCTGAATACTAAACTGAAACCCATTGACATGATTTTTTCCAGTGTCTGAAAATATTGTTGTATATATTTTTAATATAAGTAATGGGACCAACAAGTCGTGCGCCTGTTGGCAAGCTACACCTCTATCCATAACAATTGCAGTGCCGATCAGAGTACTAAAAAACCGACCTTAAAAGTATGTGGAATTAAGTCTGTTTGCCAAGTTTTATTGATATCCCCTAGTTCGCCCCTATACAGGACTTGACACAGGAGATAATAACAATCGGTTCTCACTACTCAAAGTACATTGAGAGAAAAACGCCTTGAATTGGAGAATAGCAAAACCAGCCACTAAAATAATTGCTTCATAAGTAAAATTTAGGCGCTATTTAAAAAAATTAATCTTTATGCGTGAACAGCCAGCCTTAGAGGTGGATGATTTTCTTCAAAATGAAATGGGACCACTATGTAGGTACCCTTTTTCTAACAAAAAAAGTTCAAAAAAACTTCTTTTAAGGAAAACTAAATTAACGTCTCGAGTTCGTCATCGTTCAACTATTAACCGCTAGATGGCACATTGATGGAAACTTTAAATTGACAATCAAGACCATGTTTCTTTTTAACCGACTTCAAAAAAGGAGGAGGTTCTCAATTCGACTGTATGTTTTTTTTGTATGTATGTTACGCGATAACTCCGGTATTTGTGAACCGATTTTCATGATTACTTTTTTGTTGGAAAGGGGGTACTTCCATAGTGGCCCCATTTCATTTTGAAGAAAATCATCCACCTCTAAGGGTGGCTGTTCACGCATGAAGATTCATTTTCATAAATAGCGCCTAACATTACATTAGGAGCAATTACTTTAATGGTTGATTTTGCTATTTCTCCAATTCAAGGCGTTTTTCTCTTAATATACTTTGAGTAGTGAGAACCGATTTTTATTATCTCCAGTGTTAAGTCCTGTATAATGGCGAACTAACTTAGCAAATAGACGTAATTCTACGTACTTTTGAGGTCGGTTTTTTTAGTATTCTGTACTGAGATTATTAAATTTGATACTACGACCAATCATTATCAAGATTTCATAGTGTTTTAAATTGTGAATGTACGAGTTTTTCCGACAACGGGTCTGATTGTAATCAAGGCTCATCCATTGTTTTTCCTTCATCAATAACAACTACTTGTATGTTTTCATTTCAGGCCTATTAACAAGAAATGGATCACTAGATTTAGAACCGCCGAGTGACAAGGCGGGAAGGAAGAAAGCCTTCGATTTATTGGCGGCTGCCGCTTTACCAGGTATTATAAGAATAACCATTTTTTAACATTAAAATAATGCCTATTCACACCTTGAATATCCCTGAATTCTCAATAACAGCCCATTTACACTTCCCACTGCGAGGCTCAGGCGAGGGTCTGGGCCGTGGTCAGCCACGCTGTCCTAATGTGGGTTGGGGACGAAGTATGTGCGCTTTGGTTTCGCCGAAGATGTTTGGTTGAGCAACAACTACCATCCTCTCGTTAGGCTAGTCCTAATTTTTCCCTGATAACCTTTCTCTCAGCCACCAAGAATATGTTCTCTTCTTTTGGTGTGAATGGGCAAGCCTCACAATCATACGTATGACTGGGCATTAGGACGGTCTAGTAGATCCGGATTTTGATTTGTTTTTAACCGACTTCAAAAAAGGAGGAGGTTCTCAATTCGACTGTGTTTTTTTTGTACGTGTGTTAAGCGATAGCACCGGTATTTGTGAACCGATTTTTATGATTCTTTTTTTTGTTAGGAAAAGGATGGTCCTCCCTCCTCCAACTTCCATAGTGGTCCCAGTTCATTTTGAATAAAATCATCCAACTCTAAGGGTGGCTGTTCGCGTGAACAGCCACCCTACTGATTTTTCATGATTATTTTTTTGTTAGAAAAAGGGTACCTCCATAGTGGTCCCATTTCATTTTGAAGAAAATCATCCACCTCTAAGGGTGGCTGTTCACGCATAAAGATTCATTTTTATAAATAGCGCCTAAATTTTACTTAAGGAGCAATTATTTTAGTGGTTGGTTTTGCTATTCTCCAATTCAAGGCGTTTTTTCTCAATATACTTTGAGTAGTGAGAACCGATTTTTATTATCTCCTGCCTCAAGTCCTGTATAGGGGCGAACTCGGGAATATGTCAATAAAACTTGGCAAATAGACGTAATTCCACGTACTTTTGAGATGGGTTTTTTTAGTACTCTGTACTGAGATTATTTAATATCAAGTGACGGGGCGAACAAGTCATGCATCTGGTGCCAAGCGACACGCCTCCTTAACAGTTGCAGTCCGCTCGGAGCTTTGAATCGCAAAGACCTGCCACTGTGCCCGTCACTCTGAGACATAAGCTGAAAAGTCCCATGTGCCTGTAATTTCACCAGCACTCTTCAAAACCGGAACGCAGTGATGCTCACGTTACTGCTTGGCGAATAGGTAAGATGGCAGTACTTCCCTGGACGAACTCTTTCACAAGGTGCTCTATTGCTATTAAATAACATACAAGACATATATCATCCCGTATCTCAAAGCTAACTTTTTTCTCCAGGAGCCTGTCCAGATGTAAGCGGACGCGTTTTATCGTTGCCGACCCTTGGCAAGTTCTGTGAGACCAGACAGAACGAAGCTAAGACTGAGCAGCAACTTAAGGATATTATACAGGTGAGGCAATCAAGTATCTCGACTCATCCGTAGAACAAAGGTCTATGTGCAAGACCACTTGTTCTCAGGACATGGTACATTTTGTTCGTTTTTCTTCGCTGTGGAAGTCAGATCGACTGTTGTTCGATTTTATAATTTCCGAAACGAAACAAGATATATAAATTGTAAAAACACCTTTACATAGGCCTTAGTTTGAATAACGAAATTATTCTCGTAACGTACTTATTCTTTTCGTTATATAATCACATCGGACTTTGTTCTTCGGATGAGTCGATCTGAGGTCACAGATCGGAATTCAAAATTTGGGCTTCGTCATGACCTGTAGAACCAATTGCCTTTATTCCCAGTATCCCATATTCAGTTCCACGTGGAACAAAATTGTAACCTTAAAATATAAATAACATATTTATTCCCACTAGTTTGTATTATTAATGCTAGTTTCAAATTTTATGCTAATTGATTACGGGGCGGCCGAGTTGTTAATACGTTTAAAGTTCAAAATTCCCTCTTGAATTTTAATTAAGGAACTGGTGGTAATAAATCCAGTTTTATAAATATTATTCCCGTTTTATTAATATTTGTGATATTTAAAATGTTTATCGCGCATTGATTTTTGGTGACTGGTAAACGGATCAAAAAATTAACGAGAAGATCGGGCAGGGAGTGACAATGGAATCAAACAAAATCAAAATGCGAAACAAACGAGCTATGGAACAATTCAAAATTTAAATGTAAATACGAGTGGCCAGGAACCGGAGAAAGGCGATAAAAATGTGGAATGACGATGTAAGGTGGTCACACCGTCACATTTGTAACCTGATCATAATAAATAAATAAAACAAAAATTAAAAAAATAACGTAAGGACGACATCTTGTACCATAAAGTCAGGGCGGCCCCCCTAACACGACAGCTCGCGACTTGCGCGGGAGCAAATACATTTCCCCGTATAGTTTTCGGAAATTTCGAAACATGGATTTCAGAAAATAGATTTATAAAGTTTTATGGGTAGAGCATGAGCAGCGCCACCTGTTTCAAACTTTGCGTTTTACTTCCCTATTACAATTGAAGGTTACCATTATCAAGACGGCAAAGAAGCCACTGTACTGTACATGGACAATGGCGGGCTTTACACAGACATTCTATCGCGCGTGATGCAGCAACCATGCGCGATTGAGTCTTTATTACACGGACACACTTACCGTTGTAACAAAAACGAACCAGAGCGATCACGCGCGATAAAGCGTTAGCTTAAAAAACTGGTAATCGAGCACGATTGCGCGTGTAGGCGCTCCCACGCGTAATCCTGTACGCTCCAGGACACGCGCGATAGTGGCTGTGTAAAGGGGGTTATTCCGTTCCTAGATTATGCGATTAGAGTGGATACCCAGAAGCTTCGGTCAAGGAAAATATGATTTAAACTGTCACTATATTCACGCACTATTTGATTTTACATTCGGGACGTATGCCAACGTCCATGGTCTCGAAAGGACTGGAGGGCGTCAACATCTACGAGTTTATCCAACTACTTGTGACTCTAGACCGACACACAACACTCACGACCATGGGAGACAATAGACGATGCAATACGTCCGAAACGTCGAGTTGTTGATATTAATTCCCGAATGTAAAATCAAATAATGAAAATGCCACCGCGGGATGGGGACTAGGTTTAATCTTAGAAAGGGGCAGAATAGAAAGAGGATGCCATTGCCCAACAGTATGTCACAGTGTGATACAGGGCGAAGGGGAGTGAATTGAAGACATTAGTTGACGCTAACAGACTTATTGATGTAACGTCTTACTGAGAGGTACAGTCACAGCCCCAAGATACCTTACCCTTTAAACGACCTTTTGGTTCCGATTAGATAAGTGTGAAAAGTGTTAAACAAACTTAATATCTTGGGAATTGTGAAATTAATTTCGCTATAATTTCAATGTGACTTTTTTTAGTGAAATGTAGTATTGGTTAAATTAAGAGGACCATTATTAAGCAAAACTCCAACGTATTGCTTCTACAATTAATTCGTAATTCATTGTTTCTGTTGACAGAAGGTAGGTTTGTCTCGCCGGCTTATTTCGAGAGAGAATCGAAATTTTAAACCTCGCCTCGTCTCGCCCGTAGAAAAGCACCTGTAGGGTACCGACTGTACTTACGTCACCAGTGCAATTCTAGTTAAAACTTATAAGTGACTTATTTTTAGGATGTGGTATGGAATGTACCAACTGCAAAATTTATTTTCAAGGATGACTACTTGATGTATTTCGATTTGATGTCATCTAGCGATGTTAGTGTGCAACTCGCACTGTTATATATTTAAATAATATTGTCAACAGAGGCACGAGCCGGATCCAACCCTCCGTGCTGAACACTGCCTCTCCTTCGAGGGCTTCGTGAGGTTTCTCACCGACAAAGATAACTATGCCTTTGTTCCTGAGCAGAGGAGAGCTAATAATTTGATTGGGTAAGTATGTTTTTTAATATAGCAAGATTAAATTTGGTATTTATAAGAGTAACAGAATATGACGGTATTGAAAAGATTGATGTTAGTAGACTAACTGCAAGAATTTATAGATGGAAAGGAGAAAGGTCATTTTCAGCGTAGGTGACTTAATAAAATATGATCGGTTTTCATGGATACATCCTGTATAGCGTGTGAATCTTGCCTCTGTTCATTACATTACCTATCCCAAACATATTCTGAACTAAAATCATATTATGTGAACTAAAATTATGGTTTAAGTCAATTAAAAGCATAATAATATGTCGTCAAATAAAACATGATTTGTCAAATTAAAGCATAATTTTTCAACTTAAAACATCATTTGTTAACTAACAGCACAATTTGTCAACTGAAATTATATTTTAAGAACTAGCAGCATATTTTTTTATTTAACTGCCTACTGACTCCGTCCGAGCGGTTACCATGCCTACCACGCATAGGTCCCAAATTCGATTGCCGGGCTGGGAGAAAATTTGTATGGAGAACATTTACTTCTCTCGTGAGTTAGAATGTACTTTGTGGTTGTCTATATGTGAGTCCATGGCACTCGCCACACGGGGTGCGGGGTTATGTTGAGTGTGTGCGTTAATTTGGTCAACTCAAATTAAATCTATGCCAATCATAAGCATATATATTTTGTCAATTTAAAGCATAAATAGCAACCAAAGTTATAGTTATAGTCAAGTATAACATCGCCTACTACTACCTTATGAATAGTTTCTGATAAATATAAACATATTTTATATTGCAGCAAAACCCCAAATGAAAATGCCGATAAAGAGAACCTATCCAAGGAAATGTCGGGGCCTCTAAGCCAGTACTACATAGCCAGCAGCCACAACACGTACCTGACTGGGCATCAGTTGAAGGGGGAGAGTTCTGTCGAATTGTATAGTCAGGTAAATTTCCAATAGGCTAGTGACCTGAGGAGAAGCGAAAAAACTGTTTGGCTTCATCAAATGATTTAGGTGTTTACTATCAAGTAATAGTATTACAAAAAATATACGTTGCACTTAGGAATATTGTCTAAAGATTGTGCTAATGTGTTACACAATAGGATGTATTTTATGCAATTATATGAAATCCTGAAAACAGGCTAAAATAACAATCTAAAACGAATTAAATATTTTTTTAAATTATAGTTCTAGTAGTAGGCACACAGAACTATAATGAGTTTCAAAAAAAAAACATATTTTTGCTAATTAAAATATCAAATATGACGCTACTCATATGCTCTACTGCCTCCTGATTGGTTAAATTGGCCTAAAAATCTTGGAACCAGGCAATAACCCTTTATTAAAAAGAAATATCAGTTAAAATTTATGCGATACTTGGCCACTTCTATCTCCTTGGTTTTTTGTTTTGTAGTATTTGCCCAAATAAAATGGATCAAAATGTATTTAAAAGAACATTGCGTTTGTTGTCATGATTGCCTAACAAAATATAACGAAGTGTTCCATTCGTTCCAACTTTTAATCGATTTTCAAATTGCGAATCGATCTTTCTTCAAACAAACAGCCACGTCCCTATTTTCAAAATGACGGCTTATTAATTTTGTTTTTCTTAATTTTCCTCAGGTTTTACTAACTGGCTGCCGTTGTGTAGAGCTAGATTGTTGGGACGGCGATGATGGAAGCCCGGTTATCTATCACGGGCACACGTTTACGACAAAAATTCCATTCCGAAGAGTCGTTGAAACTATTGCGAGGTACGTATTAGGGTAACGGTGATGTGACAGGATCACGGAAGACAAAAACAATGGAAGTGACTTTGTTAATCGCCTTACTATCAGAACCGCTGTCATCAAAACTTACACAAACACTACAAGGTCTTGATAATGATTGGTCGTAATTTCTAATTTAAAGAGATGTCACACATTCTGTACTAATTATTAATACAAAGATAGAACACTCAGAAAAAACACTCAGATAAAATTCCTTCGATCCGGTCGGATTCGAACCAACGTCTTCTTGCATACCGTGCCAGACGCTATACCAACTAAGACACGGAACGAACCAACGGACCTCACGAATTTTTCTATGTGCTTGCGTCGTGTCTTTGTACTTGGTCTTTCAACGACTTTTTAGTCGTAGCGCCATCTATGAGAAATCTATTACAGATTTATCACCCAGTTAGTACCTTTACAGCTACCAGTCCTGGCGAAAGATGTCGCTATTCACTGTATTAATTAAAGTTTTATTGAATTGATATTCAATTATATATACATTCTGTACTGTTAATATATTTTAAACTTTACCCTGTATCGTTGGAAGTTCAATACCATCAATACCTATTTTTGCAAGTTACGACGTTTTGATATTATATTGAAATTTCAATCAATCAGAGTGTTGGCTACGTGTATCTCTCTGTTTATTTGGCATTCTCATTTGCCGCCAGAAATGTTTAAAACTATAGTGGTGTGCCAATAATGAAAATTAAAGTCCGATATCGCTGGCCACAGTTGTTGCTAAGATATTGGACAGTCTGCTGGATAAAAATTGGACTTTCAGTTTTATTTTTATATTGTACAATGAGCTGCCATCTATCGGTCAATAGTTGAACGACGACGAATTCGTGATGTTCACCTAGTCCTCCAAAAAGAAACCGCAGTATTGCAGCGGTATTAGGTTTACTTTCGTTTCTTCTAACAAAATGATTGTTACGATAAACAGAAAATTTATAATGTATTAAAATTAAATAGAATAAGACTTAACTATTATACGAAACACCACCATAGACAATATTACAAATGCGACTTTCGTTTTTGCACTCCAAAATAGCGAAATAAAGCATTTTTCTACGATGTTCAGGATGGCAAGCTGTACAAAGCGAAAATGGCGGAAGGAGCTCAAGTATGTAGAACTCCACGTACTGTTGGCACACGTGCCCCACAAACCAAGCACTTCTACTGTATTTACTGTTCTGTGGTATTTTTATGCTAGTTTCTTTCATGCGTAATGTTTTAATGCTTCTTTCTTCTCAGGAGTGCTTTCGTGGCATCGCCGTATCCCCTGATTCTAAGCATCGAGAACCACTGCAGCCTGCCGCAGCAACAAGTGATGGCCAGTACTTTTGAGGTCAGTTATTATTTAATGCAACTTTTATTATACAACTGCTAAAGGTGAAACCTTAATGGCACCACTCTGGCCCTAATCATCTATTATTAGGTACCGACGCAGTTGTTATACGTGTCACTGCTTCATTACAAAGTCTGCGAATATTGTGGTGTATATGCAACGTGGAGTATAACGCCTTGTGAGAAACGATGAGCAAATGTACGGTCTGATGTGTGATACCGTTTTATATGTACAGGGGTGGTAGAAGGAAAAAATCACGTGCCGGTAATGCAGAGGCTAAAGGGTCGCTATAGCTTCGTTAAAGAAGTATTCCCTCTGGACGAGAAACTGACCAAGTCCGAATAAGTTTCTGAAAAGAGAGCACCTCCCTCCTGGGCATAATCTACCTTGTAAACTTGGAAGTCTCTAAATAGATTGTGGGCCCATTACAGCAGCTTGATTTTAATTGCCTCTCCCGATCGGAAACTGCGTCTCTTCCGAGTCGAGGCCCATAATTGTGATTCACAACTGGCCGATCGGAAACTTTGACATTATTATTAATTATACCCTAAGTCGAGCGGTTGGAGTCCGGCCACAATGTCAAATTTAATTCATTTGTGGTGCGCGTACCAACACCTGTCGACTTTCATGAAGAAGCAGTTTTCAGGAAGCAGTCACGTATTGACGTTTCCAAGGCCGGTTACCGGACACCCAAGTTCCGTCACACGTCGCTGTCCATACGCGTAAATACATAGTGTTTTATTATGTTGTTGGTACCTATGCACTTTAGTCCTTTAGAGTCTATACAACACAACCTTACCTCGAAATTTTACAAGATAACCGTTGTATTCAATAGATACTGTACATATACCTACCAATGATTTCTTTATATCAACTGAATAAATAAACACGTTTAGTATGCAATATATATTTTTCAAATGACTAATTAATTTAAGAGGGGGCAGAGGAAAGATTCCTAATCTTCGATTTGATTTTAGAGGGGTATATCCACTTTAAAGTCATAAATAAAATATTGTATGAGTAACTACACGATATATTCAAGCATAGACACTAATCAGAAACATAAAACAATAAAGTTTCCTCGATAGATAAAAATCACGAAATGACCTCTAATTTTCACATTTTTTCGATTCATCCTCGAAATGCTACAGGTTATTAGGACAAAAATTAGATAATTAATTATATTTATGCGTAATCGAGAAATGTCACTACGGATTTTTTTTTAATCCCTTTAGTTTTAGAGTTATTCCGCTAAAACGAATTTGGTACTTTTAATGCGCAAAATTCAACATCTCCTGTCGCATGTCACGCGAACTTCAGGCATACATTTGTTTCACAAATTTGGGCGGAGCCAACGTCAAATCTTTTTTGGCATGAGAGCTCTTAATATTAATTTTAATTTCCACTGTCCCTGCCCCTCGACCCAAGTAAAATGAATCGTATTAATATGGGAAAAGTTTTAATTGTAGCCGAGGTAGTATCGATTCATTAGGTAAATATTATATGGGTCATGTTGCCTGAATGAAATAAATACAGCAGTCTGTACATAAGTCTGTCACGGTGTGACCTTACACCGTCATCTCACCTCTTTGTATCGCCTCTCTCCTCTTGTATCTTATAATTTTTTTTATTTTACTTGTATTTAAATTTTAAATTTGAATTGTTCCATCTTCCTTCACTTTCTCATTTTGTTTTCGTACCACGGTCACTCCCAACTCGACCGCCACAACAGTCAGAGCTGTTAATAAGCTAATCATGTGTAATAATTTATAAGTCTACAGCCTTCATGTATCGATTTCTGTAATTCAGTTTCTCGGCCCATTTAGGGGTAAGTGCCTTAATAATAAAGTGTAGGGAGTGTTTTATACTGTTATACCTGTTTTTTTTTTACATTTACCTTTATATTGTTACAGCCTTTCTTTAAACTTTACTTCTTTAATAAATTTTGTGGACCGGAAGTTTCCCATTTCATTGCCGTGAACCTGTTCACGGCTAGTTAGGGTTACACCCTTTCAAGTCTGCACACAAACTATACCTGTAACTATACCAGTAAGCTATACCAGTAAGCTGTACCAGTTACAGGCTCCATCGGCAGTTCTAACAAATGCAATATTTCGATGGTATTCTATTTTATTTTTATTTTTTTATGATACAAACCGATGGGACGAACAAGTCCTGGTGTCAGGACTATCCATAGCAATTGCAGTGCTACTCAGAGCTTTAAATCGCAAAGATCTGAGTGGCACTACCACTGCGCCCGTCACATTGTGTGAAAGAGTTCGTCCAGGGAAGTACTGCCACCTTATCTATTTCTGCCACCAAGCTGTAATGTGAGCATTGGGACTTGGCAACTTATGTCCTATGGTGACGAGCGCATTACCCCTCAGATCTTTGCGTTTGAAAGCACAGACGTGTCGCTTACTTACTTGTGTTGTAACGACGCAATGCACTGGCACCGCCCGTGTGGCATCGCTCTTACTTCTGATTTAATTTACTTTATCTCTTACCGGATGTCTTTTATACCACGAGACTGTACCATGTGTGTATTCATCCAGGCAGTGTTCGGAGACAAGCTGGTGACGTCATTTCTGTTCGAGGTCGACTACACCGACGAACCTCGACTTCCCAGTCCGGAACAGCTTAAGTACAAGGCAAGGACTTACCTATATCGTAGTATAATAAGTATAATAAAGTGTAGTGTTGAGTTAGTCATACACGAGGCAACTCGCTTGGTTAGTTTGTCACAACACCTCATGTCATAAAAATGTCCCACTTCACACCTCACCTCGTGTCACAGCCTCACTTCTGTCACACTGTTTCGAATTCAACAAATGCAGCAATAATTTTTCCTGCACTGCCCGCTTTTTAAATGATGTACTAAATAAAAATACCATTTGTTTATACTATAGCGTAACACTTGAGTTATCCAATTGATTGATGCCATCAAGTTATGAAAATGTGCTTAATATTCCCTGTCTGTTGAGTCATTGCCGTAGGTGCAAACATTCTTACAACTACCTCACCTCATTTGAAGTAGGACATTGTACGGCCTCAATTTTTCAAATGAGCTACTCCATCAAACTCATTGCCTACCCAACACTAATAAGGTGTGAAATCGTCTTTGTGATGTGTATTCTGCACGAATAGAATATATCCGTAATTTCAGTACAGAGTACAAAAAAAGCCGATCGAATAGATCTAATTCCACGCACTTTTGAGTTGGTTTTTTTAGCACTCTGTATTCAGGTTATTATAATAATGTCAAATAATGATTTGCATGTAAACTGTTTTTAGTGTGGTTTTGTGTTGTTGAGTTGTGCCAATAAAAGTTTGTCTACATCTATGTAATGTAACTCCTTATTAACATAGCAGCGCGTACATGTACGCACGTACTGACGCACACTTTCGCGGAATCTCGTGGTACACTCACGTTGCACAGCACGGGTTGGCATTAGGGTCACGCACACATTTTCACAGGGCCTCCTAATTTAAAAATTATTAGTTTATCATGTATAATTCCTATGGATATATAACTAGTTTAATATTTTACATTATATTAAGACTTGATTTTATTAATCTGACATTTACTGATTTTGAAGAAATTGACTTTTTGCAAACATATTTTTTTGAGGATAGATGCCTACCTATATGGATAGGCGCCACACGATGAAAATACTAAGAAGGATAGAGGCCCTTTAGATAGAAATTAGTAAAATTCATAATAAAATGTTTTATTAGTAATATTTAATATATTGTATATACATCTTTATACATACATTATTCGAAATAGTAACTGCGTAAGAACAAGAGTTGTTTAATGTTGAAGTCAAAGAACTTTTATTTTACGAAAATAGATAATCTTGTTTAATATATTTGAAGTAATGTACTTTAAATATGTATTAAATATTTTATTAATTTGTTTTCACACTACACACACTTATACCTGTATGTATATATTGCAAAGATTATGTAAGTATTTATTCGATATAAGAGTACACACTGCAATAACCACTTTACACTCATGATATAAGTATTTACGTAGTTTATTTTATTTTATTATCTGTTTCGGGACGCATACGTCCGTCACTCTCACTCACTCGGCTAGGGCCCATTGAAAACCAGCCTCACAACCTAGCCTTGGTTGTGACTTTAGCTGAATGGGATCCTTTTGTACACGCCACAGCCGCACACATGTCAGTATAGTATTATGCAACTTGTTGTTGAAATGTTTTTACGCTGCTCTTTGTGTTATTTCTGTTTTAGTTATATTAGTCTTTGTTTTTGTGTTTTTTTTTATAATGTGGCGTTACAATAAATGGTTTCTATTTCTATTTCTAATAATAAATATTTACGTATTTAAAGTTACTACCTACTTCACTTCGTATTTTTGTAGCTATCAAAACATTCTATACAAAAATGTTCACTATTTAAACTGTGAATAATTTGTCTTTTTGGTACTTATTTATACTTACTTCTAAACCATTATCATCTTGTCTTTTTCACTAAAATAATGTATTTTTTTATTTTCTTTTCCTAACTTACTTGTCTTGTCCTTTGCTTCTAAGGGCACCTATACCGCGAAAAATCGAGGCGACTATCGTATTCGATATGGATAGATGCCCTTTTATTATTTAAGTAAGCCATATACAAAAGAGCGATTATTGACACCTAGGTGCGCAGTTAATGAACCAGCGGCGTGTAGTTATAATAAAAAACCGACCTCAAAAGTACGTGGAATTTCATTTATTTGCCAAGTTTTATTAGGATATGGGGATGGAATAGGGATTTAGTTCGCCCGTATACAGGACTTGACACGGGAGATAATAAAAATCGGTTCTCACTACTCAAAGTATATTGAGAGAAAAACGGCTTGAAGTGGAGAAATAGCAAAATCAACCATTAAAATAATTGCTCCTTAGTAAAATTTAGGCGCTATTTATAAAATACCGCCATCCTTAGAGTTGGATGATTTTATTCAAAATGAAATGGGACCACTATGGAGGTACCCTTTTTCCAACAAAAGAAGAATTATGAAAATAAAAAAAATAAAAAATATAGTCGAATTGAGAACCTCCTCCTTTTTGGAAATCGGTTAAAAAATAAAACGGAATTTATTATAACTTACAAAGTTATGCAAATATTTGCGTCTGAAATTTTGAACCGTTTGTCTAAACGCGTCTATCCCACACGAAGCCCTGCAGGGACTTTGATTAGTGGTATCTATACTCCTTATTTAAACTAATTATTCTTGGTTGCGATTAGGTTTTTTTGAAAACGAGGCACCTATCCCACTGCGGCATCTATCCCGGTTTTACCCGAACAGAATTGAAGCGGTCGCTTTGTGTTTTTAAAAGTGACATCAAATAGCGGACATGTTTGTTGTTGTGTTAATTAAGAGTGATTACACACGGCGATGCGATTGCATCGCGTTTGCATCGCAGATTAAAATCGCGCGCATGTGTAAAGGTAGACGATTAGCCACTGCATAGTCGTGTGTAACCGCTCTTAAGCAGTTCAAAGATGTGAAGTGCCAATCCTACCATTTTGGAAGGGGGCCTACACCCAGCAGTGAGACCATATGGGCTAACTATTATTATTAATGGTAAGGTGCAATATGGTGCCTCGCAGGTTTGCACGGTGTACGATCAAGGTCAAAGTAACTCTTTTTAAGGCCTACTGCCAGACACTACACCTGTGGCCTATGGGTTAACTGTACGCAGAAATCCTTCACTACCATAATAACACCTTTAGAATGCTATAATGTTGCGGCTGCCCCCGTTCTGTAGTTTTCTTGAGCAGGATGCGTGTACGATATTGTGCCATTGGACCAGAATTCATGTTACCAGAAGGGCTGGTGACATAAATTCTAATTCCGCATACCTATTGTTATTTTCTATTATTTATTTTTAAGTATTTCTATTTTGTTAAGTGTAATTTACTAACGTAGTCCTAAGTTTTCAATTGTTAAAAGCAAAGGGGATCAATGATTTTAAATATATATACTCAGAAATTAAACCCATGGAAACCTATCACAGTCCGAAATGACATTTTACAGAAATAACGTTTGGTCGAAATTTCATAACCTCGAAAGTAATTTTGAGAGGAAAATGGTTTTTTCTTTTAAACCTAACTTGACCTAACCTAACCGAACCTATTCTGTTTCATTATAATTCGGTTTTCGGTGTAATGAAAATTCGAACAAACGTTATTTCGGACAAAAATTTTCGACTTTGTGATAGGTTACCAAATTCAGCCCTGATCACGCTTTTTTTATACTTGACAGGTGCTAATAAAGAACAAGAAGTTGCTGCCGATCGAAACGAGTCCCACAGTGGGACTTACTGGGGCTAGTTCCGCACAAGGCTACGGAAGCGTTTTATCTACAGCTTTTAGTAGGTGAGTTCTTTAATATACTTTTTAGATACTTTAAAGATATTTCAATACCGCCTATAATTTTTTTTTCTTTACGATACCAAATGACAGGACGAACACGCGTAAGCGACACGCCTGTCAATAACATTTGCAGTGCCAGTCAGAGCCTTAAATCACAAATGCGTCCATCACCCTGGGGCATAAGTTGACAAGTCCCATGTGCCTGTAATTTCACGAGCACCCTTACCCTTCAGAACCGGAACACAGTAATGATGGCATAACTGCTTGGCGGTAGAAATAGGTAAGGTAGCAGTACTTCAGTGGACGAACATCTCATGTGGGGTAAATCGGCAGACATTCAAACCACGACAGACATTCAAGACATTCAACCGATTCGTTCTGTGTACCGTTTAGGTTCTCGGGTTTCTCTCAGAGAAAAGTTTAAGGTGACTGGTATCATGACTGTGGCATCACAGTACATTTATTCAAATATTTTATATGCCCGTAAAAAAAATGCATAATTTCGTTAAGATGGAAGATATCCATAATGGTAACCTTCGAGCTAAGTCCAAACTCATGGTACCACGATTTCGTTTAACCAAGGTTAACGACTCTGTTATGGGGAACTGTATACGTTTTTACAATAAGATTCCAGAGCATATATTAAGATTATCGTTTCCTAAGTCTATAGACTACATTAAAATATTTTGATTGAAAAGTTATATTACAAAATTGAAGACTACGTGTTAGATAAAGATGTATGGAAAGACGCTATGAGTCTAGATTCCATACAAATGTATTCTATAACATTTAAGTTTATTTGAAAAAAGCAATCCCTAGAGTTTCTTGCTCGTTCTTCCCAGGGAAGTCAGCGTAGTGAACGAGCAGTAGCTTAAATGTAACGTATTCAAGTGTAAATTCATTTTACCTTTGGAATAAATGAAACTTTGCCTTGACTGAAGGCTGATTGCTGAAGGCTACTAGCAAACAGAGGCCAATTTAACCATAAGCTTTTCATGAGCCAGAGTCTGTTGCCACATTATGATAATTGCTTTCGTTCTTTCCAACAGATCTAACGGCATCCGGCACACCAGTACATCACTCCCGGAACAAAGCAATAGGACGTCCTCGATCATGTCCAACCAATCCGCTGGCAGCTCGTTAACAGAATATTTTTCTGACGAGGATTACGATGAAGACGACGAGGAGTTGGATGGTGAGCTTGTTATTAGTTTTCCAATGTGTTATAAAAATTGTAAAGAGATTGACAGACCTAATGGTAAATAACCACCACCACCGTTCAAAAGGGGGATAGGAGCAATTTAATTCTGATTCCTTAACATATTTCGGTAATGTGTTATATAGCCAAGAAGTCAAAAGTCATTCATCCCCTAGTATACCCTTAGAGGTATAACTGCCTCCGTGGCCAAACGGTTACCATGCCGAACCGCCACGCAGAGGTCCCAGGTTCGATTCCCAGGCCGAAAGAAATATTTGTATGGCCTACATTCGCATTAGGCATTTGTACGAATGGTAACGACTTTCCGCTTCAGTAGTTCGTTGGCTCATATAGGCCACACTTAATGCTGTCCAGCGACTGACTGACTGTCTGCGTAGCCCTAGCTACTGGTATCTGTGTAAATTTCAATGGGCGAGTTTTCCTGGAAAATTCAAATTCAACATTTTTTTTCGGATTATTCATCCATATTGGTTAGTATAACAAAGGAAAAAAACTTACACACTAATGTTAGTAATTGCAACTTATAAATATGTACTGGGTTTTATGTATACATGAAGTTTGATCCAGTGTTCAAGAAATTAATCCTGGACCCTACCAGCAATAATACTCACGTTGCTGTTACCGCTGCAACGCACTCTGTGCGTCAAGGATGCCGCTCTCTTGCCCATGATGGCGACAAATCGATCTACATGAATATCTGTGAACAACAGCATCTGAATATACTATTGTATATGACTGACAGCTGAGAGCTTTCCGTAGGTTGCCGGTGTAAAAGGTCTGGAAATAAGCTTTAAATAACGATAACTTTATGTCTTTAGTACACCTTGCAATCCAACGTTGCCCCGCGCTGCCAACGCCCTACGCTCTCTCTCTCAATGTCAGTGTTATCTTCCAAAGACTCAGTGACCCAATGCCCAATGTATTTAAATTTAGTGACCTTATTCAGCGGCCACACAGTTTAACTTCTGGGACATAACTTAAAGCATTTTCTACTCAGTTTGAACACAAGCAACTCTCTCTTGATCCCATTGTTACCGTAGCCTATCAGTCTCACCATAGCTCTCACATATTGCAACTAGTTTACGCAGTGTAGTTATCGAGGGACTCGGCAACACCATAACCGCGTAACTGATATTCATAAGGATGGGAACAGGACCTTGCGCCGATATATACCCGTCCATTAGTACTTTTAATCAAATGTTTTTTTAAGAACATCCCCAATATGATCGAGATTAAAATACTTAAAATACATTTTCATAATATCCGATATCTATTCCAGAAAAAGAACTCCACAAAATCCTAAACTCTATGGAAGACAAGTGCGGTCGAACGTCTCTCTCTATCTACCACAGTTTCCGGAGGAGCGAAGGAGACGGGGAAGCAACATCGGGCAGTGTTAAACAGGCCACTACCAGGAAACGAAGTAACCAAATCGCCAAAGAGCTCAGTGATATGGTCACTTATGTACAGGTAATAAAGATTATTGCAGGTTTTTAATAGCAGAAGATCTCCTTGTGAAAGAATTCGGCCAAACAATATTGCTACCATAACTATTATTGCGTCCCAATTTTGCAGGGTAATGATTTTGAAGAATGAAAAATTTTTTTCTCAGGGTGTCGGGTGCAGTGTCAGTGCCCCTCGGATTTTAGCAATTGAATGAACGAACGATGTTTTATTTATTTCTCAATCACAAAACAGGCTTAAGAGTAAGGAACTTAAGGTTAAAATACAAGACTAAAAATTGGTCAGACTGTTTTGTGAGAGACTGGTGCCCGAGATGGTATAGAAAAACCTGAATTACGGGTCACCAGGCTTCCACTCTGCAGTTGAGCAATTTGGTTGTGGCACAGAGGTTGTGACAAAGAATAAAATATATAAAAGTTAGTGGAATATTCCTGATTTAGAATAATAAAGGTACTAGTGAACTAAACTTAGTATTTAAAAGAACCCTCTCAAGGTTTAACACTAAGTAAACTCACAATATGAAAAGTGTGAAAATGAGTGAGGGAGTGTTCATAAGGTAAATGTGTTACTGATTAGGTTTTACGCAATTTAAATGTTAGTAGCAGTAGCTCCTTGTAAAAGAGTTCGTCCAGGGAAGTACTGCCACCTTACCTATTTTTGCCGCCAAGCTGTCATGAGAGCGTTACTGTGTTTCGGTTTTGAAGGGTAAGGGTGCTGGTGAAATTACAGGCACATGATACTTGTCAACTTTAGTCCCTGTGTGATGGGCGCAGTAACAATGCTCCTCAGATATTTGTAATTTAAAGCTCTGAGTGGCACTACAACTGTTATTGGATAGTTGGGCCTGCTTACCGTAAGTCTACCTTGATCTACCTTGTGTATGGTTTGCCCGCCTTGTGTCTTTCAGGAGGGCTAGCACGACAGGGCACGACTTGCGCGACATACTACTTCGAGAATTTTTTTTTTGGATGTTATGGTAATCTTTGAGTCAGCCTGTCCCCATATATTCTCTTTAATTTGAGTATCGGAGCAACGGAATCCACTTAGGACACCACTCAGAACACCCACTCAAGAACCAATCTAGAAATACAAAGCAAACCGTTGGGCCACAACAAAACGTCGTCAAGGGTCTCTCAAATGAATCCAGATTATCACAAATGCGTTGCCGATCGACTCCAATTCTTAATCCAGAATATAGCAATGCTGTGCTGCGGTAAAAATAGGTAGGGTGGTGAACCAATGAAAAGTGGTAGCTGTCGTTAAAGACATTTTACGATGCAAAGGAAGCATCCTTAACACTGCAAAGCGTTGCCGACTTTAGGACACAAGACCTTAAGTCTCTTGTACCTGTGATTACACCAGCTTTTTCTATCCTCCAGTCTGTAATACAGCAATTCCTTGCAATAGCAAATAGGGCCACTAATCCTTTCAGATTTCCCACAGTCAGATGACACCACCACTAACATCCATTCCAAAGACCGTAATGTCTATCGCTTTCCTGAAAATCACATTCCGCTGTTTACAGGCAATAAAATTCCGTGGTCTAAACCCGTTGTCACCGCGAAGTTCTTTGAAACAACCAAGCAGCCATAAAGATGGCAGTGCGCCGTGCTCCAGTTTTGAATCTTCAGAGAGCAGCGATAGTACTGGAACGGTAAGTGGTGTTCACCTTGGTTTAACCGTTCAGGTAACGTTTAGACACACCTCAAAAGCAGTTGTTCAAGCCGAACGTGATTTAGGAGATATCTTCTCACTTAATCTACAAATTTTGGGATGACGTGTCCAGAAACAATGGGCACGCCATTTATCCTCCTAAAGTATTAATAAATATCGGGAAAATACCCGAGCAGAAGAAGAAGCTGATTCCGATCTTGTTTCGACGGCCGATTCTAATTATGACTTCCGATTATTTTCACGACATTCGATTCTGAAGGCCTACTCTCAAAATATACAACCGCAGCTGCGTACGAAATCAAAACGATCCTATTGTTTTAAATGTCCACTAAAATAACAGCGAAATTTTTGTTAACACACGCTGAAATTGGCTTGAAATATTGAAATACGTACTAGTACTGATACGAATATCTTTTGAGGAAAATGTTCAATGGTAACTAGCAAAAGAATCATGTCTATTCTCGAAGATTTTGTGAATTCAAATTCAAAATAATCTTTATTTCATAGGTAAGCATTATTACACTTGAAATCATCACAATGGTTAAACTCTACCGCTTATTCGTAAGGCAGATTCCCCTGAGAAGAATGAGCAAGACACTCTAGGGGTTGCTCTTTGTAAATAACATTTGTACACATTCAACATTTACAATATCTATTTTTTTTATTTGAAACATCAGAGATCGAGACTACATCCATGAGCTAAACGGGTTACTACCACGGATTTTTGTCATCCAAGAACGCAGAAGTTGTATAATAACCTTTAGTATAAAATTTTTGTTTCACTGTAGTTTTTAACCTCGTTAAAGGCAAATTTTGTTTATCAACCGGAATCTTGTTATAAAAGCGTATACATTGCCCCTTAAATGATTTTTTGACTTTGTGAAGACGGCTATCAAGAAAAGCTAGTTTATTTTTATTCCTCGTATTAATTAAATTCTGTCTGTCACTATTTTTCATAAAGAAATTACTATTCCTTTTAACATAAATGTACTGTGATTAATTTGAATTTAAACCCTTTCCTTCTGAAGTCGTGAAGCCTTGACCTACCGCCTCCGGACACGCACCTCCGAGTTCCTCAAAATATATGTGCGACATTTAATTTGAAATTTACGATGAGCGTTGCGGTGCAGGCAAATATCGTGATAAAACCTACACGTTGAAGAAGGTTCACAATCCTCGGCAAAAGTCAGAGGTCCCCAACCCGCACTGGGCCAGCGTGGACTAAGGCCAAAACCCTCGCCTGGGAGGAAACCCGTGTCCACCAGTGTGACGTATAAATGCGTCCATGGTGATAATGATAAACCCTTTATATTTTGAATCCTCTAATTATCTTCTCTATTTCTCTTTCAGCAACTTGCTCAACAATCTCTAACGGCGCGTGGCCGTTGCCTGAACGCCCCAGCGGCACACCATCCCTGCTACCGCTGTTCGTCCTTAAACGAAGCGATTGCCAAGAAAATCTGCAGGAAACATCCCATGGCGCTAGTCGCACATACCGAGACCCAACTGGTTAGGACTTATCCCGCCGGGTGAGAATTTATTAACTAAATATATACTTACTAAGCCACGGAACGAACCAACGGACCTCACGAATTCTTCTATGTGCTTGCGTCGTGTCTTTGTATTTGGTTTTTCAACGACTTTTTAGTCGTAGCGCCATCTATGAGAAATCTATGACAGATTTATCACCCAGTTAGTACCTTTACAGCTACCAGTCCTGGCGAGAAATGTCGCTATTCAGTGTATTAATAAAATTTTTATTGAATTGATATTCAATTATTTTTTGTGAAATTACTTCACTAGTTTGTTATAATTATTAATACAAAGATCGAACACTCAGAAAAAACACTCAGAAAAAATTCATTTTTTTAAAAAATATTTTTCTGAGTGTTTATATATATTAAATAACGCTCACACGCTCAACGCTCACAATCAACATAGCCCCGCACTAGGGAAACCCTGTGTCGCGGGTCCCATGGACACACACATAGACAACCACAAATTACACCCAAACTCACGAGAGAAATTAATGTAGGGCATACAAATATTTCTCCCGGCCCGGGAATCGAACCTGGGACCTCTGCGTGGCAGTCCGGCGTGGTAACCGTTCGGCCACGGAGGCAGTTATAAATATATAGGTTCCGAGAACCTTCATGATTTAGAACTGCATCTTCAGACATCGTTTCGGCAGATTTAGGAATCGTGCAATAAGATTACGTTTAAAATAACACTGTATATTTTAATCACTTTGAAATCCAACAACAACTTGTACTTTCTATTAGTTTTAACGATCGAAATGGGCACTAGCCGTAACGGAGGACAGTTCCGTGACGACAACTACTCTGTACGTCGACCATCGAAAAAAGTGTCCGATCGTGCCCGCCAACAACGTCACGACTCTGTCGTAGCGCGGGAAACCTAGTTGTGCGGACTAAATCGCTAGTCCGCACCGTGGCGCGCTTGCGTTTCGTTTAGTGTCCGTAATTATTAATTAAAAATATGAAATTATTTTTTCGCCTTTATTTTTAAGAGGGAGCAGAGGAAAAATTCCTAATCTTCGATTTGATTTTAGAGGGATATATCCACTTTAAAGTTAAAAATAAAATATTGTATGAGCAACTACACGATATATTCAAGCATAGACACTAATCAGAAACATAAAACAATAACGTTTCCTCGATAGATAAAAATCACGAAATGACCTCTAATTTTCACATTTTTTCGATTCATCCTCGAAATGCTACAGGTTATTAGGACAAAAATTAGATAATTAATTATATTTATTTATGATCGAGAACTGTCACTACGGATTTTTTTTTAATCCCTTTAGTTTTAGAGTTATTCCGCTAAAACGAATTTGGTACTTTTAATGCGCAAAATTCAACATCTGTCGCATGTCACGCGATCTTGATAATGCCATGAAATAATGATAATGAAATATATGCCTATTTGTCGAACAAATGTGGGCGGAGCCAACGTCAAAACTTTTTTGGCATGAGAGCTCTTAAGTATATTTGGCAAGTAGGAAATTGTTTAGATGTTTGCAATAAACTTTAACTTATACACTGTATAATACACGTTTGCGAAAACTATGATTGAACACTTGAATTTTCGTAATCTTTATACACTCGTGATCCGTCTGTGTCTGTGTGACTTAATACAATATGGTATCAGGTGTCTCCCACACCGTACCGGCCCAGTTAATGCGCGGACGCTTCCAGCCAGTCAAAGCTCGCTAGAACCGGCCAGGCGCGTCTCGGCCGTCCGTAACAACTATTGCATTAACAGTGTAATATATATCAATTGATTTTATTTTTTGAAATATATGAAAATCATGGTAATAAGAGAATTGCGATATTCAATAAAATAAATAATAACGAGCTTTATTTATCTACATTTGCATAACAATTTAGTCTTAAATAACATCATCTATAGTTACATATATTATGTATATAAAAAGGAAAGAGACAGCTTAAGCTGTTTTTCAGACCCTACCTTTTTGAAGAAACTCGCTCCATTCCAATGACAGTAGTTGTATGACGCGTCTCGAGTAGCTCCAAAAAAATATCACTTAACTATAAATATATACATATATCACTTAACCCTAAAGTTATAATCGTATTGTCACGATGGTACCAGTGCTAAATAAAACATTCCATTTCAAAATACTCCAATTTGTTTAGGCAGGGATGAATAGTACATATAAAAAGAAATATAAGAATGTAAGCTACATTACTTGCCGATTTTTGCTTCGAAAGTAGCCAAAGCTTGCATTTTCTTTTGAAAGTGTAAGACAACTTTAAGTTTCTTATTGGAGGAGGCAAATCTTTTCAGCAGTTGGGTGCAGCGAATATGAAGGTACCGCGGTAAACCGTTAATCTAGGAGGTAGTGATATATATAAGGAAGGATACCGTATCGACCGTACATTGCGATAATCCCTGTTTTTCCAATTTAATTTTTTAGCCAGGTAGGCAGGAGTACAGGACTTCCGCAAATTATAAACGAATGTGCTTAATTTAAAAGCTCTGCGGTTTGTCATACTTAAAATATTAAATATATCAAGATAATTATGTAGTTAATGTATGCACGAGGAGGAACGTTATAAATAGATATTGTGTTAATGTTAACTTTACACAACCTGTTTTTTTTTCACCCTATATAAAATTTTTTTTTCGTCCCCAGCCTAAGAATAGACTCATCAAACTTTGACCCCGTGACGTTCTGGTCCTGTGGGGTCCAGCTCGTGGCCCTGAACTACCAGACGGAAGACGCTGCAATGGCGGTCAACGCCGCCATGTACGAGAGCAACGGCTGCGTTGGTATTGTACGAAAACCAAGAGTCATGTGGAGCCCGGAACATATTGCTTACAGACGGTATGTTACACATCAATCGATATATATGTTCTAATAATATTACAATAGAATAGAATAGAAACCATATGTCGCACTGCTATTGCATTAGTGTTGTAAGTCAAAATATGAAATTCAAGATTATAGTAATGCTGAACGTAAAATTTTATTATCTACAAGTACAATAAAACCGTCATCAGAATATTGTAAGAAACAAAGAAGACATCTTCAACTTAATTTATAACGAACTTAATTTTTTTTATTAGTTTTGAAAATAAAATAAGACTGAGAAACACTTCTAACAATCAACACTAATCTTGTAAGCATACATATTATCGATATTCTGTTATTAAAACAATTCACTACGAGGTTTTTATTGTTTTATTATTATTATTTTTATTATTTCAAGTGTTCCTACAAATAAAAAAAGGAAGAAAGAATGGTTAGAAATCATGGGACTGCCGAATATAAACGTTGGATCAAAGACCATCTTCATTTGTTCGCTTCATTATGAAGAGTCAAATTTTAACAGAACTTTGAATGTAACTAGATTACATGACAATGCTATTCCATCATTAGGTTTATTGGTAAATAATTTTATGTTCAATTTAGATTAAACAAGACTCATTTACTAGTTATTCTCAGTTCCTGAAAACAAAATTTTTCCCAATGACAACTCTAACAATTAAAAATGACTATTTTTTTAAAACCTGCAATACAATGACATGTTAGTCCAACGTTGCCGGGTAAAGGCCAATACCAACGTATAGACAGCCTACTTGCCTTGCCTTGCCATCGTTCGGTTTAATAATAATATACCACTCGAGATTAAATTATTAGACTTGTGTTTGTTTAGGCATACTTTGGTTACAGTAAACTAAAGAAACAAAAAGAAACAGTTTCAACATTCAAGCCATACATTTGCATGTCGATAATGACTTATCGATAGATTATGGTACAACACTAAAGAAATCCGCCATTTGTAACTTTCAAATTTTGGTTATAAGCACGTTGATTCTGTAGTTAGGGCAGCTCCTTTCTTTTATTTTTTTCCATCCTTTAAACACTAGACTGTGGTTACGAATTCACAACGTGACTGTCAAGACTGAGCTTGTTTTATTCATTTTTCTTCATGAAAATGCGGAATAATAATTGAACACAACGTAATTTTAATATATTTCATTATTACATACTTTTCTTTTTGGCAGTTAAAATTCTCTGAATGTAAATAATATTAAGTACTTTAACCATTGACTTACAATTATATGGACGTCGGGTCCGCGCTAAAAAGTGTCCGAGCTTATAGGGCTTGAAAATCGTATACAGAGACGTCATTCACGCTTTAGTCTAATATTGGAAAAACTTCTAAATACTAGACTCCTTGCCTACCTCGAAAAATTTAGCATATTATCTCTTAGCCAGTTCGGGTTCAGAAAAGGAAAATCCACCGAAGACGCAGTCGAAGCACTAACAAAGCAAATTGTAAATCACGTGGACCGCGGTGATAAATGCTTGACTGTTTTTTTGGACCTTAGGAAGGCTTTTGATACCGTTTCAGTTACCACTCTTTTACTTAAGCTTGAGAGAATAGGTGTTAGGGGTGTTCCTTTGGATTTGTTGAGGAGTTACTTGAGCGGCAGGAAACAACGAGTAAAAATAGACAATTACGTAAGCGATTACACTGATGTAACCTTTGGCGTTCCACAGGGCAGTGTGTTGGGTCCAACCCTCTTCTTAATTTATCTAAATGACCTCTGTAACATGAGTCTTGGTAACGCCTCTGTCATCTCTTATGCTGATGATACCGCTCTTATCTTTTATGCAGCTACCTGGAATAAACTTCAGAGTGTAACCGAGAAGGGACTTGCTACTGTCTGTTGCTGGCTGAGGGATAATTTGTTGACCCTAAACAACGACAAAACAAACTTTATATGTTTTTCTAAATGTATTAGTTCACAGCCAGCGAGTAATTTTGTAATTAAAACTCATTGCTGTGAACCCGGACGACGTGATCCCTGTACATGCCCACACATTGAAAAACTATCATCCACTAAATACCTTGGCATCATTATAGACCAAAGATTATCATGGTTTCAACAAATTGACGCAGTTTCTAATAGGATCAGAAAACTCACGTGGATCTTCAAAAGTCTAAGACATGTACTTCCGGCGTACCTTCTTAGAAGAGTGTACATTGTACTGGCGCAGTCCATAATAACCTATTGTATCCCCATATGGGGTGGAGCTGTAAAGACCCATTTTATTGATGTTGAAAGAGCTCAACGTTCTTTGCTGAAGGTAATACATTTTAAGAAGTATAGCTTCCCAACCGACCGTTTGTACTCCATTAGTGATGTGCTCTCTGTGAGAAAACTACACATCCTTCTTGCGACCTTAAAATTTCACAAACAGTTGCCATACAGCGAAAATAACCAGAAAAATCGTAGAACTTTCAGAGTATCTCATCGCACAAATAGTACCTTCGCTAGTAGACAAAATGAAAAACAGGCCTCTCATTTATTTAATCAACTTAATAAGCACTTAAATATATATCCTCAAACCTCATATAATTGTAAACATACTCTTATTGATTATCTTAAAACGCTTAATTATGAACAAACGGAAGCATTATTAAAGTTCATCACGTGACAATATGCACACGCACTCGGACATCAGTAGCCGCAAACACTGAAACATACACACTCACACGCTCGCATAAATACACTCATACACATGCACACATACACACACATACACACACACACGCTCACATACGACACACACACATTTTTAATAAGTTCCTTCTAACCCGTAATTGGTAAAGTTGGAGAATTCAAACCTAAATAGTAAAATAAACAAGTACCCATTTGTACCAACTAACATTAACAACTAAGCATTTGTTTTTTTTTTAAATTACTAACCAATTTCTAATTGTAATTTTAAAAATTGTATCTGAAGTTCTATTTATGGAAGAGCGGAGTCCTCTGACACAGGTACATTTTACTTACTAGAGGGCTCCAACCATGTTCATTGTACTATAATTTTTGAAATGCAATAAAGATTTTTATTATATTATTTTATTATTAGTCTTCGTTTGTTCGACTGACAGCGAAGCAAACAAAATTAGACAGTACTGCGATGACATTACTATTTAAATTCAACGTTTTAGCTTTTTCATATTCCTTGACATGTCACT